ATACTGATGTTTCGAAGCATCAATGTCTCCCAAAAAAGACATCCCTCGGGGAGTACACTTAGTGCATTGACCAACCAGAGGAGCGAGAGATTATTCCAAAGTCGTTGTGGCAGAAAAACTGTGCTCAATCAACCAAGTGTTTGGGTAGCAGAGTGTGGTGACTACGTGTTCGGAGAAGTTACATGTCCTTGAAAGAAGTCCAAAGTGTTGAAACAGTGTAACCAACATACTGTGTGAGTTGTGGAAGAAGTGTGGGGAGGGGGGCAGGAAGAGTGGGGAGGGGGGCACAAGTTCAAGGTTAGAGTGCTCCATATACTAAGTTTTTTGGCGGGAAAACTTAATCCAATTAATTAACCAGGTGAGGGTGCCAATTAATTTTTTTTTTGGCGGGAAAATTGACCAACAGGAAAGTTTCAATCAACTACATTTCCAGAGAGTTTTAAGTGTAAAAAAGCAACAGTTTTGGGGCAATTTGGCATACTCAACTACATGATACGAAGAATTTTTCAGTGACGCTTAATGTCGAATTAAAGTTACTGGCTACAATTCAAGTTAAAAGGCTCCTCATGGAAAAAAGGCATGCTTACCCTTAGAGTAGAGTGAACTGGGCAAAGAGAGAAAAGCGAGTTTGCATGTGTGCACCTCAAGGCATGTGGAGTGTTGTGTCGTGTTAACAAAGAAACCATACTCACACCTCCCCATCTTCTGTCACACAGCTCTGCTCATAAAGGTTTGGTTCTTCCTTCCGCTCAGACCAGGCTTCGGGTTCGTATCTTGAAAACAGGAGAGACAAAAGTCAGTGCATAGAAAACAGCCTTGCAAGCAATTACGCCACACAACATTCAACTTTAGTCCCAAGTTCAAAACCCCAATTTTACTTTAGAGAAATTTGTCGAAGGAAAACGTGTTTCCAAAACATACACGATCTAGAAAATGTCTGCAGAACGTACTGCATCTGTGCGAAACCCGTAATTGTGCGCAGCACTTCGGCAAAACGTCTTATATAAGGCCGTACTCGCAAATATAACGTTGGCATCCCGTCTATAGTTTTCAAGTATAGTGTCGAAACAGATATCTTCTGCAACAGGCAAAATTCTGATGCAATGTTGACCAAAAATCCGGGTTTTGTGCAGGCGCAGTACATTCTCCCAACGTGCTACTATCTAGTACCTTAATGCCTATAATTAATCCAAAATACACTATAAAGAAAAGGCAACTTTCCAAGATTCTAAAAGTTCCGATCTGCAGTGGTTTGTTTGGTCCATTCATTTACACTGTGTCTACTAGTAGATCAACATCTAAATGCATTTTCAGCTCAAAAAGAACTATCCGGTATCTGCTATGCTAGGCATAATGGGTGCGGACAAAATTGGAAAAAACTTTACACACTGCAAACTTAAGAAATGGGGAATACACTCGAGTGTCCACTGTCTACAGACAAAATTAAAACTACAAGGCTGTATTAAATCACGTGACCTTCCCTATAGCAACTGACTGGTTGTCAACTTCAAGCTGAATCAAAGCAAACTTTAGATATAAAATGTGAAAGTATGACAAGAACCAAATTATTGTATGTACATACCAAACTCCTGTATCTTGCAGTACACCGCCTGCGTCCAGTGGAAAGCACAGCCTCTCTTGGTCTTCCCTGGTAGGACAGATCGGACTGCATGCAGTCAGTGCTGTTACATTCAGTTCTCCTGGCGGCAGTCACAGGATCTTCTTCAGAACCTAAAAAGGCAAAGAAGGGGATAGTGTTATACTAGTTGTACTTCAATATATATAAAACCCAAAGGCTTGTACAAAGTTGGAGATGGTGCAGTACAATGATATGAAAGACAACTAATGTTCAAGGTTGAAGGGTTCAAAAAGCTTACCATCCGGGTTCGGTGCCTGTACGTCTATATTCTACATGAAGACTTCCTCCACCATCTGGTGGCTGACTTGAACAGGTTGTCCACCGCCCTCTGTTGTACACTTGCCTGGATCTGAAGGTTGGTTTCGTCATTCATGGCTGGTGGAATGAATGAATGAATGTTACTGCTCCACAGTTGTACATGGTACAAAATTGGCAATGACATACAGTAAGATTATTCTAAGAAACTACAGTATTACTACAAGAATATGAACACAAGAGGCATATGACATGGTGTACGTTAACCCTTGTCCTGCTGGCAATTTTTCCACAATATTTTCAAATAATTTCATGTCTTAAACAGGTCACAGACCCTTTACTTTACTTACCCTGCGGCGGCGTAGTTACTTCCGCATTCGTTGCGTTTCGCTGCAGTGTGATGCGTTGCACGAGAATCACCCCCAAATGGTACATTCACAGGGCACTATATAGATGGTACTGTATGTGCAACCCATATAAAATGATATATATATGGGCCCCGCAGGACAAGGGTTTTTTTAAGCTTTGCTATCTGTTACTGTAATACTTTCTCTCTTATACTAATACACTGCATAAATATTGGCCTCGGTACGTAGAAATGGAGTCGGGGCATGACACAAGTAGATTGAAAATGTCTGCGTTTGTTTTTGGGAAAGGTTTACTAGCTTTACATGTGATCATTTCATTACTATTTGTCTATCTGTAGTATAGGCAGTACAAGTCATTAGAAAATGATACTCATCTTCAACACTTTCTTGATGGATGTGTCTATTGTCTCCCCGCTGGTAGACACCGTTGCTTGGCACTTGACTACAGCTAGCTGGCGCACCCGAGATTCGTAAGCTGGCCCGATTGTATCAGCCTGCCGTACACCTGGTGTTCATCGGCGTTAAACACCTGCCAAACAGAGAAGAGAATGTTAAGATAGTTTGGTAAATCTCTTTACCAAAAAAGGAAATAGTTTTAGTTTTAGCTGGGATTTCTTTTTGCAATAGGGAAAAAGAAGAGGGGAAAGAAGGCTGAAAAGCATGTTTGTGGTCACTGACTGAAAAACTTGAACATATCATATAAAGCCATCACCAGTATTTCAAGATAAGTATACTGCAACAAATGAACAGCAAATGAGCAATTGCATGTTACGTAAAAAAGGAAGTATGTAGTAAAATGTAGTATCTGAAAATAAACTAACTTGTATTCAAACATGTGTTCTGCTGTTTCTTCCTCCCATTTTAATTTTGGCTTGTATTGTGTGAGAAGGTCTATATATCTGTAATAAACAAAGACACATTTTGAGATAAAGAAAAAAAAATAGATGTTAAGTGTTCCGATGAAAAAAAAAAGATCTGATGTTTAAAAAAAATGAATATGGCATAAATAAATAATGGAGGAAAGGTTAAACTAACTGGTTTGTGCTTTCTAAATTTTTGGTTCATCAAACTTAAAATGCTAATAAAATGTTTTGGATGCAGATAACTAAAATGTTTAGAGTCTAGAGCTGTAACATGGCTATGTAGTATAAAACCTTGTTCTACATGTAGTAATCTCTGCCGCTTAAACAAGCATCGAAACATCCATGAGGACGAAACATCCATGACGAGGACGAAAGAACTACAGGACGAAATCATGCACTAGAGGACGAAAAGACCTGATATCAAATTTTCACAACCGCTAAGAACATCACTGAAAGTAAACTAATGCTGTTGTCAGCCCTTGTGATAGAACGTCCTTACCCAAACCATGATAGTCAAAAATACTCAAGTACAAAATGGCCTGTAACAACACGTGTACGAGAATAGTTCAACTTCCACGAAACGCAAATTTCTACGGAATATTACGGTAAGAATAATAAATTATAACGTGGCCTGTTGCTACAGGTTTGTTGGAAGTACAAACATGTACATTCAAGGCGGTAGTTTGTTTTCTTACCTCGGAAGAAGGAGTCTTCTCAGCACCACGCCGTCTTTCCGCCATGGCAGCCGCCATTTTCGCTTCTTCTCCAAATTTCGCCCTGACAGGAAACGCGAATTTTCTCCCTCAAACATCCAAAGAACGGCATAAATCCGACCTGGAAACGTTCAGACGATATACTGTACACTTTAGACGGATAATTTGTCGACAAAAAGCCGAAAATTTACCCCAAAATGTGGAGAGAATTCACACACGACAACGTAGGTCACACAGCTCAACTGCACTGCACCATGGTTGAACAGACCGTACCATTGTGATAACTACATAGGGGTGCGAACGGTATTAATCATTATTGTTCTTGATAATCATCCATCACCATTCCACCATCAATTAAAAGTAATTATTTTCGCTGCACAATTTTTAACTCGTTTTCTGTGCAAACCCCAAACGATCAAGATACCTTCTGGCACAGCAACTGTTTATATCCGCAAATATTTAATACCCCCCATTTGTTAAATGGAAGGGCCCAAGTGTGGACCTCTCCTTGGTGCTGAACTCACCATCCGTTCCATGTATTAAGTATTGTAGAGGTGACCTGTACTAGACGTTTTGTTTGACACAACAGAACACCCATGGCAAAGCTAGGGATTGATGTGTTTTAGTAAATATATACAGTACATAGTATATAGAAGCCAGTATATCAACAAGATCTTTATTTCAACAACACTTTTTGTTCACATTACAAGTGTTACATGCATAATGTTACATGTACTGAGCTAGGCACTCTATTTACACATACAAATAGAAGTAACACAATCAAAAACAAGTACAGAAGTGTCTTTATTTAGGCCACACCAAGTAATTTTTATGGATGATGTCTGTGCGCGCATTGATTTTGGCCTGTTCCAAGAAAAAAAAGCAAGAAATTAAGCTTCTTGTAACAATGGAGGTCTCTTTTTTTCTACCTCCATGTTGTAACTATGGTCAATGAGTCACGACAGTGGGATATGGGAAGATGTGACCAAAGGAAAGAAAGAGAACAGGACGACAACTGTTGTTCAACTGATTTATTGCTGTTTTCATGAGGAATAAAAGACTTGTTGGTTGTCAAGCAACAAAGAATTTGCAATATATATATATAGAATCTTGGGAAGCCATTAAAATGCCATTAAAAGGCCATTAAAATGCACAAATTCTTGGTTGAAATGTCTCAGACCATGTTTTTTAGCTGGTGACAAACTTATGTCTGGCTCACTCCAATTTAACAAGCATCTCCATCAGCAAACTTTCCATTGACAGAAGTGCAGCGAGTTGGAGTAGTAAGTCTGCAAGTAAGATTATGGGCTCAACATCACCTATTATATGTAGTAAATATCATGATCAGGTACCTGTGTTTCTGTTGTTGGAAGATTGCATGTATGTTTTGGAAATTCTTAGAAAAGCATCTAAGAATTTCTGGACCCCTGAAACATTTTTCTAAAAATTCTGAAACATCTCTAACTTTCCTCTGTTGGCTTTTCTGAAGGCTTTGTTTTGGTGTGTGTGTCTTCCCTTGTCCTTTGTTTCTGCTTCTTCTCCTTTGCTAACAGTAAGTACTTGTCCCTGATGGCATTGTGTTCTCGGTACGGGTTTACAACGATCTCTGCAGAGTCTGACTCCTGTGAAGAAAAAAAGTACAGGATATGAATAGAAGCTATGCTTTGAAACTTGATAGCTTGGTTGTTCAATGGAGCAGGCAGGATAAATAAAAAATAGGATATAGCCTAGATATGATAGCTGTGAAACATTGTGATAGACCTAAATGCTACCATGGCAGCCACTGAGTCAACATACCAATCTGGTCAAACTCAAAGTTTCAATTCAACTTCTACAGCATGGATATTCAAAGAAAGAAAAAAAACTGTAAAACAATAACTTTCTACATTAATGTTAGGCCAATATAAGAGTATTTTGTGCTTAACTCATAACCTAAATTTCGGTACCTGTATGTTTACGTACTAGTAGTACTACACTCACTATCCTGTCTACCGTCTGTTGTTCCCTGTCATCCAAGTGTTAGACGTGCTTGCACACTGGTGCTGAGACTTGATGGTAGCCCACCATTTTGTTTGTTTGTTTGTTTATTTATTTAACCAGGATATACATGTCGCCTATTGGCAGTTTTTAAAGATTCCTGGGGGGATAACCCCAACAAAACTACATGACATTAAAATTATAACAAAAGATTAAAGATGAACTAACAAAGGTCAACTATAAAATAGATAAACCTATCGTGAACAAGACGAAATCGTAACTAACTCATCAACAATCAAATGAAATAAGGTAACATAGAAGTAATAATAATCATTCAGATATCAAATCATAATGGTAGATAATCAAAAGGTATGTCAACTTAAAAGTAAATGCCTCTGTCCTGTGGGTTGATGTTTTGTAGGTTAAGGTGGAGGAATTCAAGTACAAGTACATGTGTATGTAGCCTTACCTGGTACTCTTTAACCTTCTCCATGCAGATGAGTCTGCGGCTAATGTCTGTAGAGAGAACCTGTTCACAGTTGGACACTAGTCTCAGGCACGGGTGTCTGGGCAGGATCTTCTCTGAGTAGCTGCATGAATGAGCAAAACATAGGAATTTTCAAGATAAATCTTAAAAATTACAAACCTACAAATCTACAACAAAACAAGAAATCAGGGATTTTAGACTTCCTGGCTTTTGTGAATGTCATCTTCAGGGTTGACCTCCTGAAAATTAACTGTCAAAATCATCTCCCTCCCTCCATGCAACAATCACTACTTGGACATGAAATACATGTATCAAACTGACCAATCAGCCACCCAAAACAAATCCATACCATGTAAGACTAATTGTATGCACAAACTCCTGTCTAAACTAAAAATTTTAGGGATTCAGGTTGAATAAAGTAGAAGTACCGGTACATTGTACATCAAAATAAAGCTATTTTTTTCTATTTCAGACAGTATGTCTAGCACTTTGACAGTACATGTAAAATTCATAAGATCAATTCAAAAACAACTGCAGCAAAATAACAAAAAAAGGTGGAGACTGACTCAGGTCTGTAGACTGGTAGCCAGTACACCAGTCTGCCGTGGATCACCAGATGTTGTGCTGCATAGTTCAGCAGGTCAGTGAGAAGGTCAGACAGTGTGTACGCTGTCTTTGTCGGGTTGTGCAACTCACAACTGTAGGGAGAGAAGAAAATAAGAATTAGAGAAGGCTGTAAACAAAAACTCTAGCCATGACAACATCACAGGGCTGGGCAAGTCTATCTGTTGAATGTTCTATATGTGTGATTGCGATAATGTCGCGGCCAGCGAGTGCTAGGCAAAAAACAAGTCACAGATGGTTTGACTACTGCTAACTTGTATATGTCTTCCATTAACTTATATTTACATGATGTAAAAAAAAAAGCAATCGCTTGTATTTACTGGAAGGTTAATCTTGGTATTCCTAAATAGTAGTGACTCAATTATTCCATCATTTGGTTAACGTTGCTTCTTCATTAATAGTGTAACATTGATGATTCTTACTTACTCATCTTCTCTGACAAAGTTGTTGTCTTTAGTCCCAAGTCTCTGACTGGATTCTCTGATACCATATGGTGCTGCAAATAGGAAACAGTTTTAGTTCCTTGCAGTTCCCATCAAACCTGCAAGATGGCAACCATGAACAGTCTGTACCCAATCACTCTGTAAGAAAATCTATCATTTATTAATGGTTTGATATTTCCTTTCGCTGTGCAAATGTACATATGACTGCTATTCTTCCAGAAGAATCCATAATCCATAATACATACATCATGATAAACATTTATTTTATTTTTATCTAAATATAATTCATCATCAATTTATGCAAAGAAGTTATGAACAGACTCACGATCAGTGACAATAGCGTCAAAGAGCTGACATGGTCTCCATACGCTGCGCGCGGCGTCTGATATCAGCACGTCCAGATACAGGTGTTCCAGTCCGTACTGACGCAGGTTAGCTCGGATATTCTCATCCTCCCCACGCCATTTCTTGTTGTGTCTCGTGGAACGTCCTGGTTTATAGAGTGATAAAAGCAATCAATATTCTTTCACAGGTAAGAAAACTCAAAGTAACACTTTACAACACAAAAGGTAACATTTGCAAAGCAAATACATAATGTTTACCTTTGCACATGGTCTGCTCTGTTAATTCTTACTCAAACACATTTATATATGGCCAGACAGGAGTCTAAATCCCTCCTGCTATAAAATTGCAACATGATGTAACCCAACACCAGTTACCATGGTGTCAGATGGTCCTTGACCCTTTTGGTTTGGAGAAGAAGAGGAAGAAGAAGAAACAGTGGGGACAAAAACAATATGTTTTCCTTAAATATAACCAACATTCTTGGTTGTCTTCACATGTAAGAAAACTTGAAGAATGTAACACTTAACAACAAAAAAGGGCAAAAAAGTATTCAAGGAAATTGTCACTCAAGCAACTGCATAGATTTGAAAGAAAAAGTAGATGTCCTGGTATATATATAAATATATCAACATTCTTGGTTGTCTTTACAGGCAAGAAAACTCTAAGTAACACTTTACAACAAAAAAGGCAAAAAAAGTATTCAAGGAAATTGTTACTCAAGCAATTGGATAGATTTGAAAATGGTCAGATGCTTCAAGCAGTATTCAGCATCCACTACTTTTGGTCAGTGACTAACAGAATCTATAGCTGGACAGGTATTCAAATCATCCAAAAACTATGACTTGATAATTTTAATTATTAAGACTCACCCCATCCATGTATGATGTGAGAGTCAATGTCTGTACCCATCACATAGGAGCCAAAATGGGCAGACGATACAAGAAGACTACCTGGGGAAATACAATTCAGTTTTTAATTCATATTTTTATACTTTTGAGATTTATGGAATTTGTAGAAAGATTGATGAAAGCTAGGAATACACTCTGTTATTTCAGGGAGAAAAATAGGCCTTTCCAACTTCCAAGGACACAACATTTCAGCCTTCAGGGATTTGAACCCAGAACCTTCAGATTCTAAGTAAACAACCCTAGCAAAACCAGCTTGGCATCTATGGTTTCACCCATGTTAAGTGCATTATCACTAGACAGCTTGTTTAGAGATAGATGTTCAAAGGCTAGGTGTAACAGGTCATTCAGTGTATGAAAAAGATGCCGCAGTGTAGTTACTACAGGCAATACAGATACAGATACAGTTGTTGCCACCAAGTACAGATACATGTAATTCTCACAATGCAGACTCACCTGTCCCCACGAACGGGTCAAACACGACAGAGTTGCGCCTTGCGGCGGCCATGTTTGCCATGACAAAGGACAGCGCAGCGTCCATGCTGGTCTCTCCGATAAAGTGTCGTTTTCTGACCGAATATTTGTCGATCAGTTTCCTCTGGCCATCTCCTATCTAAGGAAAAAAAATCATTGATACCAATTCAATAGGAAAATACATGATTAGAAGTTATTTTACACAGTCAACTTTTTACACAGTCAACTTTTGGATTAAAGATGTTGATGAATGTCACCCAGCATGTTTTATAGAAACTGCAGATAAGTGAAGACACAGGCACATAGTATTATATACTTGCACACACAAATAGACAGACAGATACACAGGCAGACAGAAAAACATACAAACAGAATGACAGACAATCCAGAAAAACATTACCTCAGTCTTGAATGAAATGATTTTTCAACACTTTTCTTATATATGAAGAAATGAGTTTTGCTTGCTAGTCATGTTGGAGAAACTGAAAGCGAGTATGGAAAAAAAAATTTGTGTAGGCTAGATTATAAGTGTATTTGGTTATAAGAAAGGATTTTTAAAAACTCAACTTATACATGTAAATAAAAGACAAAGGTAAACCTTACCCATCTGCCAAAGAACGTCCTGTAAGGTTCCTCGGGTGTTTTTGTTGGGTCATCTCCATAGTCTTCCAAGATGTAGAAGGTGTGTTCTGCATTCTTAAGGTCAACACGACCTTGGAAGGGAAGGAAGTCTAACGCCTAGGGTAAAAAAAACAGACCAATGAGAGTGGCTGTCTGTCCAGTCTATTTTCATCTTTATGATTATGTTTAGTTTACCAAGGGAAAACATTTTGTTTTTGCCGTTTCTTCTCCCGTTCCAAACACTGACCTGACTTGGTCGATGACCTGAACCAGATCATCTCTCACCATAGTAACTGGTGTAGGGTTTCATCATGTTGCAATTTTATAGTATTAGTAGGAGGGATTTAGACTCCTGTCAACATATATGTGAATGTATTTGAGTAAGAAACCATATGAAGGTATACATTATGCATTTGCTTTGCAAATATTACCTTTCTAGTTTTACTATTCATTTCTACATGTACATTTCAATGGAGGTCAGTGGGGCTATGAGATCAGTCTAACATCTGGACAGTTGCTTGAAGATTGAATATTGTTTCTTACATCAATGAGGTCCCTTTTCCTCCTCATGGTTAGAGTCTTCCCGAAGGCAGCTACGTGGTACCTGAATGATGTGTCCTGTCTCATGTAGGGAGCCTGGGGAGGGAAAAGGGTAACATTATTACTAAGGGGAAAGAGAATCACTAGATTGTTTTTTGTCTTGTCTTTTTTTTCTGTAGATTGTTTTTTGTCTTGTCTTTTTTTTCTGTACGCACCACCAGAACCACCGGCCGCGCTTGGGTCTGCACCTCCCAGTCCCTGAGCATGATGTCCCTCGCGGGACCTTGGCTCAGTAATTATATAAGATAAGAAGATAAGATAATAGAATTAGTACCCAAATGACTGCATTACTATTACATGTAGTATGATTAAGAGAGAATATCATTATATTGGTGTGAAAGTCTTTCAGCACCAAGGACAGGCATCAGATGATTTTGCAATATTTTGTAATGGGAACTATGTATACCTTGTTAATGTTAGTGTAAATATTCAAAGCATCAGAGAGTGGGTTAGTCTGTTTTCTAGTGTGAATACAGGTAGTTTTCAAAACTAAGGATAGGCCCCATCATTATTCCTTCCCATGCATTTTGGAGTGTTATTCAAAATCAATGATTGTCAACACAATGATGATGATGCTGATGGTTAACACAATAGAGAGCACCATCACTTTACAAAGAATGTCATTCAGCACTATAAAGGACAGGGTATAAAGTGGGTCAATATCAATTTTTTGCCATACAAAGACACAACACTTCACTTACAGACAGTTCTGTAGGATAGTCCCTGAGTACTTGATGTAACTCCTCTGCAGTCTGTCCTGTACCCCATAACTCCAGTAAACATCTGCAAAACAAACAAAAGTAAACAAAAAGAAAACAAAACAAAATAGACCAGGATGCATAACTTGTTAATAATTTGATTTATCATTTAATACAGGCTAAAATAATGTATTTTTGAAAGAAAATTATACAAAATTCATACCTTGACAGAAAAGATCTCCCAATAATTTTCCTGGCATCTTCTTCAGAAGGTAGCCTCAGTTCTACAAAAGGATGGCTCTGGAAATACATAAGGTTAATGTTAAAAAACATGAACAACAGATACAGATACTATAGCAACTTTAACTGCAAAACTTGTACCCGTTAATTACTGAGTCAAAATATTGCAAATTTATTTTCCAACTAATTCCAAGTGAAATTAAATGAGTTCACTGCAGTTACCTTGAGATCATAGTCTGAATCACAGATCTCCATTTGTGATCCAACTGCAAGGGCGATGGACTGGATCTCCTGAAAAATATAATACATACTCTTACTATTGAGTCTTACATATGCAATTTTAGTAAATGTTTAGCACTTTTGTAGTACATCAACTGGCAACTATCCATATATCCAAAAACAAAATGCTTTTACCAAAAAATCTAGAGCTTAAGCTACGAATTTTTTTGTCAAAGTGTGTGTTCTGAGTAGTACTTTTTTTCCAGGAGGGCAAATCTTGGTTTTTAAGAAATAAATTTTGGGTTACTGCCCCCCTCCCCCTTTGCAACACCATAGTCTCTTCCCTTGGCTATAGCTTACAGTGAACATCGTATCAGCCCACATATCTAAGATCAGTTTAAGTTTATAATTGACTTGAACTAACACCTACCGGTATTCTAAATTCCAGATGGTCGTGAGCCAGCCACAACAAATATCGTCTCCACCCCGTGGAACACATGGGCGCAGCCATCTTGGTTTCTCGCTACTGCAGTAACGGCGCCATCTAGCGGTTTTCATTGAAATTACTACAGATGTTGCGAAATGTTATGAAAGGCTGCGTCATTCATATAACACGCAATCGACGACTCAGGGGGACAACGAGTACGAGAAGCGGAGCAGACGTTTATTACAACATTCAAGGACAACTTATAATGGCGGACAAAGCCATCCCACGAGGTGACCTCTAGTTGGGTCACGACCTTTAGGGTCAACTCAACCTAATAACCACTATAGTGACGCTGTTTAATACAAGTGTGTCCACGGTGTTCTCTTTAGGGCTTGTCGAGGCCAGTGTGTGTGTATGTGTGTGTGTGTGTGTGCTGTGTGTGTGTCACTGTGTGTGTGTGTGTGTGTGTGTGTGTGTGTGTGTGTGTACTGTGTGTGTGTGGTGTGTGTGTGTGTGCCTGTGTGTGTAAATCGAGCTCTGTGGAACGTAACATGCAACTTGATACTAGTCACAATGAATATAACGTTATAAAAAGTAATGTATTTACTTTAAGGCGGTATGAAAGAGTCAGACTCGAGCTGAGATCTTAAGTTATTTTATTACAGCAACTCTGAGTTATGATCTATAACAACGTTTAGATGTGTGATCATGGTTAACTTCTTCACATAAACAGCCTCGTTTTCTAAAGTCGTGACAAAATCATGCACATTTTATGACTATTCGTTTTATTACGTTGACGAAACCTTTTACTACAGTTTCTTAGACATTTTCCACACAATAAAGAAAGCCCCTGGAAGTGGCAGGATCCTGTGAACTCTTGAACTAATGACGTAGCCTAATTTTCGATACAGGTGCACGCCATACCCAAAACTAGTGATCAGAAAAACCTCCCGTATACCAACAGACCTGCAATACGCTTCCAAATGGTTAACCATGATTGTCCCCATCCCTTGCCGCCGATACATAGAAAGCACACTCATTCGTTTTAGTTCAGCCACCGTGTCAGATACCCGGTGTAGGGCAATGGAACTGATGATCCTTTGCTGGTAAACCGCCACCCAGAACTTGCTGCCAGGTTGAGTAGAGTACCACGTGTATAGACCCTGGAGCTCTTCTCCGTTTCTTGTGATATCTTGTCTATAGTCTGTCCACAGATACCAGAGAGATAACAAGAATGCTACTAGTAAAGGCATCAAAATCGACAGAGGCACGGAGTTTGTAAGAATGTAAAACATGGCCGACAGGAAGGCGATCCACGCAAGGCTCTCAGAGGTCGACATCATTCCTAGTGCGTTACCGATAGCCAGTCTTTTCCCGATTCTCTGTTCCATCATTCCGGTCAGAACCATGTCAGCGACGTATTCTGTCTCCTCTGGGCGGAGTTCTCTTATAACGATGTCACTCTTTTTCATGGTGCTGGACTGTGTAGTTCCTCCGAAGAAACGTTTGATTGTATCGTCGACTGTATCCGCAAGCAAAGAAATCCTTACTCTGTTGAGTGAAAAATCAGTAAACATTAGCACTGCGTATAACTTGAGGTAATTAATTATACAATAGTCCATAAAATTGGCTAAGGCCTTTCTAGATCTCTTCCATTGTACTTTGAACCTCATGGCTTTCTCTTTAGCGAAAGCTAGTTCTTAACCTGTAACACCCACTAAGTGTTAAAAACCACTCGCACACAATTTTAGGCCCGCCTCAGTTGGAAATCTCACCCCTTAAACAGCTTATATTATTTATCTTGACCAAAAAAATTTAATAAAAAGAGGAAACTTACAATGTTGCCACCTGCACTGCTACGTACGTGCCACGCTGACGGCGCGACCTTTGAAATTTGACCTTCAGACATCACGTGTCAAACCGGTGGTACTAGATTATGTGCTGTGTCCGCTCGTTCGAACATTGCACTTAATGTTCTGATTGATCAGGAACTAGATGATATCATTGGAGAATTTCCTAACTAGTACAAAGGCATAAAAAAGGACAGGGTCTCAGAACCAATCCGGCAGGGGGGTTGGGAAAAATAAGAACATGCAGTTACCTGGAAGTGTCCACTGTGTTTTTTTTTTACTTTATTGGGATCCACAATCTAGCTTGATATCTGTTAGATGTTCTATTCTTCCTGTAGTCCTTAACATGTTCTCTGTTTGGCTTGTCGAGGTCAGTGTCTGTGCATGCGTGTCGAGCTATGTGTAATGTTATGCCACGATAATCTAACGTTATATCCATTATGTGGGGTCGCGATTATATAGAGTCAAGCTCCGATCAGAAGTAGGCATTTTTATTACAGCAACCCCGAGCTATGTCTCATCTATTACATCGTTAACGTTTAGATTGATGTGTGATCATGGTTTCCACATAAACTTTAATACGTAACCTGGTGTTGTAGAGCCGTGAACAAATCGTACACATTTTATGACGCTACGTTATAATTACGTTGACGAAACTTTGCACTACAGTTTCTTAGACATTTTCCAGACAATAAGGAAAGCCCCTGGGAGAGGCAGGATCCTGCGAACTCTTGAACTCATGACGTAGCCACATGTTCGATAAAGGTGCACGCCATACCCGAAACTGGCCACGGTAATCAGAAAAACCTCCCGTATACCAACAAACCTGCAATACTCTTCCAAATGGTTAACCATGATTGTCCCCATCCCTTGCCGCCGATACATAGGAAGCACGCTCATTCGTTTTAGTTCAGCCACCGTGTCAGATACCCGGTGTAGGGCAACAGAACCGATGATCCTTTGCTGGTAAACTACCACCCAGAACTTGCTGCCAGGTTTAGTAGCGTACCACGTGTATAAATCCTGGAGTTCTTCTGCGTTTCTTGAGATATTCTGTCGATATTCGGTCCATAGATACCAGAGAGATGACAAGAATGCTACTGGTAAAGGCATCAAAATGGACAGAGGCACGGAGTTTGTAAGAATGTAAAACATGGCCGACAGGAAGGCTATCCATGCAAGGCTCTCAGAGGTCAACATCAGCCCAAGTGCGTTACGGATAACCAGTCTCTTTCCGAGTCTCTTTTCACGTACTCCAGAGAGAACCATGTCAGTGACTTCTTCTGTCTCCTCTTGTCGGAGTTCTCTTATGACGATGTCACTCTTTTTCATGGTGCTGAACTGTAGTTTCTTCCAAGAAAATTTTGTATCGTCTGTTGTTGCGCATTTAATAGCACGCCACGCCCACCGTTGAACTAAAAAAACATTCGCACACGATTTTTAGGCCCGCCTCAGTTGGAAATCTTACCCGTTAAACAGCTTATATTATTTATCTTGACATAAAAAATTAAACGATATAGGAAACTTACATTGCAATGCTGCGTACATGACACGCCGGCGGCGACCTTTGAAATTTGACCTTCAGACCTTTAAACCGGTGGTACTACTACTAGATCATTGTGCTGTGTCCGCCTCGCTCCCACATAAGTTGTGATTAATCATTAACTAGATCTCCACGTGCACGATCTCATACCTTCGCCAAATGATGTTAACGTTTATGAGTGACAAATTATAGATTATTCCCCCTGATTATGCAAATAGGATCCTCATTTCCATAAATTGCATCAGTTGATCATATTCTTCACCAAGAGACAGTCTAATCTTAACAAAGAAAGCCATTCTAGCATTTCCTCATGAATTCTGCAAATGAGGTCCTTATTTCAATAAGTTATGTTCAATGACGTTCACCTTCACTTAACTTTCAAAAACCCTGCGTATAAAATTCCAGGCAGTTACCGCATTGTTGAATCACAGAACCAGCCCGGAAGCTAAAGGCTGAAGGTTATAGTTCCCCAAGGTCAAGGCCATGGTGTGACACGTAGGAACACAGCGTACGGTACCAGCAAGGTAAGTTTCCTTACATTTATTTAATTATTGGCCAAGAGATTTAACATCAGCTGCTTAAGTGGTGGGGTAAATTTGTACCACTGCAAAGAGCATAACATAAACCTTGCCGTAGTTCTACTGTTTGTTAATTTTCGCCCTTGCACAGCCTTTTCTTCGAGAAACTACAGTCCAGCACCATGAAAAAGGACGACATCGTTATAAGAGAACTCCGGCAAGAGGAGACAGAAGAAGTCACTGACATGGTTCTCTCTGGACTACGTGAACAGAGACTCGGGAGAGGGGCTTTCCGCCATGCAGTTGGGCTGATGTTGACCTCTGAGAGCCTTGCGTGGATCGCCTTCCTGTTGGCCATGTTTTATATTCTTACAAACTCCGTGCCTCTGTCCATTTTGATGGCATTAACAGTAGCCTTCTTGTCATCTCTCTGGTATCTGTGGACCGACTATCGACTAGACATTTTAGCAAACAAAGACGAGCTGCAGGATTTGTACACGTGGTACGCTACTAAACCTGGCAGCAAGTTCTGGGTGGTAGTTTACCAGCAAAGGATCATCGGTTCTGTTGCCCTACACCGGGTATCTGACACGGTGGCTCAACTCAAACGAATGAGCGTGCTTTCTATGTATCGGCGGCAAGGAGTAGGGACAATCATGGTTAACCATTTTGAAGAGTACTGCAGGTCTGTGGGTATAAGGGAAGTTATTTTGGTCACCGGCCCAGGGACTGGCATGTACCTGTATAGAACGTGTGGCTACGTCATGAGTTCAAGAGTTCATAGGCCTCTACCACTTCCAGGGGCGTTAATAACCCTCTACACGATGTCGAAGAAACTGTGAAAATAATGTAACGATTTCTTCACAGCTTGAGAGAATATAATAGGTTATACACATGTATGTTTAAACCATGATGGTTCATCTACACGTTGTTATAGAGTGATAGATAGAGAACTAAGGTAAAAACGTCTGATCCAAGTGTGACTTAATGATTACTTAGTGCATCCATATATCGTACGTTCGATCATTCGTACAGCAATATTACATATCAACGAAGGCACTCATGGGATTATACATAGGTAGCTCGACACACACACACACACACACACACACACACACACACACACACACACACACATTGACCTCAACAAAGCCAAACAGAACACTGGATACTTCCGGGTCACAGTATAACGTTTCCCAACCTTTCTGGCGATGATACTGACATTAACTCGTGCTATGTAAAATCTAGTGTGACCTGCTAACTACTAGTATAGGTTGTGGGGTGGAAATGTTGTTAAAATGGTATACCATTTGAGCTGATACTGCCTATGTCTATGTGTTACTCTACTGTGCCGACCACTGTTTTTGTCAACCAGTCGTCTGCACGTGACGTCATGGCCCTGGACTAGAATAGCAACCAATCAGCGCTCGCGGTTGTGACGTCAGGTATTGCACAATCGCCGGCAACCAAAACACACAAGCATATAAAGGTACAGTCTCAATACAGCTATACAGCTTTTGGGAGAGTGTAGCTGGATATTTCAGACGGAAATTCGTTCATTGTCTTATTCTGTGCCAGGAAAGTACTGAATCCTTGTAGTTATGGCGGAAGGAGGGACAAGCGAAAGCCGTACGCTCGTGGAAGCATCGCTAAAAGTCGGGAAGTACCCCCCGCTATTGGGCGCTACCGTAGAGGAAGAAACTATCGAAGAGGGGGGTTTCGCTACACAAGAAGAGGTGGATGAGACAGATGTAAGCTGTTTCCATCTTTCTTCAAGCCATACTCTATTTATTGCTGATCATAATGCCGGTTTGTGAGATGTATAAGGGCATGTTTAGTCATTGGATATTTGTGCATCTGTGCCACACTTCGTTTACCATTATGTTTTGTAACAATTTTTTTTACTGGTTGAAGCTTAAGGTTTATGGTGTGTCACAAGTTTAAAGACGCAGGCGCTCGCTGTGTGTGCTTAATAATATAATCTTTTCGTGTGGATTGGTGACGTTAAATGGTAACAGTAAGCATCCTTTTGAAATCAATGTATGTTTGCTCATGGATAAAAAGGATATTATTTGCATCGTAACGAAACGAATATCAAAGCATTGATTTTACAGTATTTTTTCTCTTTCTTTATATTTTCTTTAGGTAGAGATATGCGGCATCTGTCTTGTAGACTCGCCAAGATCAAGTCACGTGATAGAGGAGTGTGGTGACGTGTTCTGTGAGAGCTGTCTCCGGAATCATTGTCATTACGTCATGGAAGAAGGGACGTGGATAATCAAGTAAGTAGTGCAACTTGGTGCTAACAAAAGTTCTTTTACACTATATGAGATATTGTTTTTTTGTTTACACAAGTTCCCGGTAGGCAAATACAAATTATTCCTAGGCATATGCAAATTATTGGTAGGCACACGGAAATTAGTGTTAGGCATATGTAAATTATTGGCAGGCACATTGAAATTATTGGTAGGCGTATGCAAATTATTGGTAGGCACATGCAAATTATTCCTAGGCATATGTAAATTGTTGGTACTCGCATGCAAATTATTGATAGGCGCATGCAAATTATTGGTAAGCAAATCATCCCGCTTTTTGCCTACCGCTTGCTGACTCAGACGACATTTCAATCGCTCATATTGTCTACAAAAGGTTTTACGATTCACAAGAAAATATTTCCTCATTTGATCAAGAAGAAGCTTGTGAAAGTTTGTTGCTGCGAGTACAAGAATTTGGTTTTGATTTTAGGTGCGCAGGAAGCGGATGTGACGTCACTATTCCCGCTGACGTTCTTTGGGCTGTGCTTGACCAAAGAACCTTCATCAGACAGCAGAAGAAGGCAGAGGTAATCTAAAGGCTAAAATCTAAAGTCGTCGCAGCTTATATAAAATTCACATCTATCATTTGCAGTTATTTGATGTAGGTTCCATGATCTTTGCATTTCGCTATTGTCATGCAAAAGCAACATTACTAACTTCAAATTGCTTTGGCCACTTCAAAATAGATAAAAATGCAAATGTACAACTTGTAACAGTGCCTTAACTATGTAACTATGTACGTCTCCGAAAATTTCCCCAATAAAGTACTGGTCATCTCACAGGATAGAAATGAACAAAATATCGCATACAGGTCACGGTGTTCCAATTCTAATATCTTATTCTAATTCTTTGTACACCAGGAACAAGAGAGGGAACGTCGAGTTTTGGAAGAGGAACGAGAGGTCGACTGGTGCCCGAAGTGTCACGGGATTTCTCGCGTGAGTTCGGAGGCGTACCCTGGCGGACGGCGGCGGGCGGACTGTGAGAAATGCGGGCATCCGTTCTGCACCAGGTGCCGGGACTGGTGGCATGGAAGGGTATGTATGGGGTTCATAAGCATGATATTGCGAACAATATTACAAACATGTATCTGCCTTCAAATTGCAAAGTATTTGTAATGATTCTGCCACTTAATAAACTTACTCACTATTACTATGAATATGAAGCTTTTACCATTTAGAAAACCTAACAAAAACGTATGCCTACTAAAACGCACAAAATGTTAAAAGCATGGGACTGTTACGCCAAAAAAGCAGTTACTAATGGCCACTTGCTAACGGGACTATCGATCAATAAAAATGTTTAATAGCTGCGTATACTGCCTCCAACAAGAATCCAAGCCCATCAGTAATGCACCTATATAGAAACTAGACATTATTTGTACTCGTGATGCGTGCACTGCATCATGTCATTCGGACATGAGTTTGAAAAGAAATACATGTATACACTTGCGGCTTACAGTTAGGGGAGTGTTCTCACCGAGTGTGGAAGAACTACCGAACAAGTGGCAGGATCACGATTTCTGGTCAGACTGGGATGGAGGGATGGGAAGAGAGAGTGAAGGGAAGAAAGAAGTACGACGCTCTCTCCAACAAACTCATCATGGACAGCACCACACCCTGTCCGAAATGCCATATTGCAATATACAGGACAACCGGGTAAGATTCACAACACTACATTTTATACCACATGTACAAACATTTTGCATTTGTGTTGGGTCAGCAAATGTTTGTTTCCATGGCCTCTTGTGCAAAAAAAAATATGACTTCGTATCATTCTAAAACCGTATTTGTAGATGTAGCGATACACCATGCGATAGTGCGGAACAAAATGATAATTTTACACATAGTAGATGGAAACCCCGTGTGCCTTTATGGAAAAGGAAGCTTAGAGGATGTACTAAAAGCGTCACCTGGCAGTATTTTTAAAACTGCTCGAACTGCTTTGTGGCTCTTCGAGTGACAAGGACATCGGAAAGGAAGGTCAGTATCACAGTGAACACTGCATTTAAACTGGAATTGTTGTGTCACTACGTGCAAAATGTAGTGTTACAATAGTGCTAGGTAGTTTTGACATACAAGATAAGATTATTTTTCCTTTGCTTTCACAGGTGCAACCACATGGTTTGCGTCAGGTGCAGGCACAGCTTCTGCTACGACTGCGGGGCTGCGTCATGCATCTGTAGACGTCGGCGCGACCGTGCAGCCAACCAGCCGCCACCGGTAAGTCTACTCACCTTTCAGTGATACCAATGCATGCTGGGAGACGCGGGTAATTATGGGTAGACCATTGCATGCTGGGAGACGGAGGAATTATGGGTAGAACAGGTGGCAAACGACTTTATTCCTACGGTATTACATATGTACCTATCAACCTTTATACCGAAACAGACTATCCCAACATCATCTAATTTCTTATTTTCTTCTTATCTTGCAAGACTGGACTGCAAAGACGTACAAAATGTAAATATAGTGTAACTCCTAATATGTTACAGATTGTAAGTGCAATCCAAGGGATCCTTGAAGCCGATTTGTCCGCCTTCGACAACGCAGAGTGCGCAGCCTGCCCAGCATGCCATCGGATGAACCGGAAGCGAAACACTGACAACCACATCCGGTGTGTCGTGTGCAAAACTAGCTACTGCTTCACCTGCAAGAGGAGGCTGACGGGAAATGTTGGCGGCCATTTTAAGAAGGGCATGCCCTGTGTCCAGCACACCTCTGCAAAAAGTACCATCACATCTGCAGATGTTGTTTCATGGTGTCAGGACATGTATGGTAGTTGGGCCGACGGATTGGTCAAGCTAGTCAAACCTAAACGACGGGCGCTCCAAGAGCGTAATACACAAGAAAGTTTTAAGTGGCAGAGGCAAGTCTATGACGTTGTGAAAGCTCTTGAGCTTGAACTTGAAGAAAAGGCGGTAAAGGAACACACAGAAAACGTGAGACCGGGTGACGTAGTGCGTAAGGTTAACGTCACCCATCTAAACGGGAACAAGAGTGTTGAAATATACTCAAATTGACCCAAGAAGTAAACAATAGAAATATTTTTACCATGTTGATGCACAGGTTTCCATGAACCATGATCACATGAGTTTTAGTAGTAACGTTTGGGACCGCATCATGCGACAGTGAGCAGCGACACCTAGTAGCGCTATAAGGTGGAACAGGCCATTTTTGCCAATGGGGGAGGGGTAGTAGAAGGATTGACTCAGATTCATTATTCATAAGTAATGCGGATGCCTGTATGTTAAACTGACTGTAAACAACGAGGAATAAAAACGTTTTGAAGAACATCCCTCAACCGAGTCTATGTTAACTGCGACATAATGTGCTTTTTGAAACACCAGAGCCTGGTCATCTCTGAGTACTAGCAAGCTACTACATGTAGTACCCAAAGAACAAACAAACAACAACAAAATTCCTCGTACCTATTTATTTACAACATCATATTTGATATCTCATAAATGTACAATCATATGTTACGAAATTGACGAATGAGCCTAAATTAAAAACAACAGTTCTATGTTCTAAGTCCTAGTACTTAGTAATTTGGTATCTTCCTGTGATCTAGAAAGTATGAACAAGCAATTACGCCAGGAAAGTTTAAAACATGACAAGTTAAGCATAATATGTTCTTGTGCAATATTACATATTCCTACTTCTCATATTAGAAATAAAGGGGGGAAAACTAAAACTACTCACAACACAATCCGCCATCTTCCTCAGCTCTGAAGGGTGACCTGGGTGTCAAAGGTCACCCTAAAAGGTCACCCTGAACACGTGACTGGACGAGAAATTTTTGCCATCAGCAACATGCAATGTAATTTTAGCAATCACAAAAAGGACGTCGTTGACCAAGATTTTGTGAACATAACTTCTTAAATTTACCAATTTCAAGAAAAAGATCCGTATTAATTAAACACCTTAAATAATTTCCAAACCATATATGTCAACTATTGCATTAAAATATTATAAATTTTTTTCTTCTACTAAGAAATAAAAGGAAAAAGGAATGTGCTGAAATAAAAGCAAGTCATTTATAAGTATACTTCGTAACGTAATGTTTAGACTAGCCCAAGCAGACGCTTATGATAATATTTACAAATTGCTCGCAGTATGCACAAGCTTACATTGATTCCTATGATATCCCTTTGCTATATCAAATTGTATCATACATTAATTTAAATTATAGACTGACAATAAAAACCTTAACACAATATTGCAGTTTAAGCTAGAATACAATTAGGAATTCCTTCTGTAAACCTGAAATGTAATCCTCAATTCCATTGGTCAATTTAAGTATTCATAAGGTGCTTTACGCAACCAAGCAAAAAGTGAATTTGGCGATTGTCTATCTGTCAACATATAACCGTGCACCTACATATATTAGAGTTTCATGTAAAGACAAAATGCTCTTGGTGTAGATACTACTGTATACAATCTACTATATTCTTGAACTTCCACAGGAGTCTACGTGCATTGCTGAGTGCTAAATCAAATATTCAATATTTAGAAAATTATCGATCTTCTGTTATCTGAGTTAAAATTAAAAGCATGTAGGGTAATTGTCACATCTGTGTTTGGTTTTTCTTCAGCTATCGATGAGATTCTACTTCAGGAGAGGGATGCTGGTTCGAATCTCTGCTGGTCCCTTCTTCGGCGGAAGGTTGATTTGCTGGATCCAGGACGGCTGGGTCAAGCCGTTGTAGCCAATCATAGCGAAGCTTCCTGGGATACGAAAAAAATGACCATATTTGGTGATTTAAATGATGTAGGTTTCCGGGAGGATACAAAGTGTTTTAATGCAGCTTTCTGGAAAAGTACAAAATCACCATATTTGGTAATGACAAGTGAACGACTAAATGAACGCCTTACCGGACAAGACCATGACGGTCATCTTTACGAATATATCATAATTATTTATGAGAAAAAACACTTCCATAAAAATTAATACACAACCTATTAATTAGGATTACCTCTGAATCCAGTTTTGACTGGCTGTACGGCCCCTATCTCCCTGAGTGCTTGTAAACACTGGTTGGCTCGTCGGCTGGACTCATCCTTTACGGACACTAATATAATAGATCTGTAATACAACAACAACATTTTCCAGAATATTAGAATGCTTGACAGTTAATACGCCAAAATTTTAGTGAACTGTTTACTGAATTAATAATAGTAGCTGTAAATAAAAGCACTGTGGCAGTAAACTAAGGGGACTCACTCTAAGGGAATTTCTTTCCGTATAAACTTGGCCATCGCTTCGTCCTTCCGTGCCTGAGCAAAGGTGTCGAATATGCGCTGATGGGTGATGTTCCCGGACCGTACGTCCACCGCTACCACCAGGTACCCGCGGCGGCCCAATATCTTCACACCGTTAACCTGAAAAAAAACACACACACAGTGACCTTTTATTTATATACATGTCCAACATGGGATAAATTCACTGATGAGTTAGGTAACTAAAGTAGAAGATATATTGCATATTGCTATACTTTGTCTAACAAAGGATAAAGTTTAGGCATTGAGTTAGGTAAATAAAGTAGAAGAATATTTCGTCTACACCTACAAAGTCTAACCAATATTTTCGCCGAGTAAACTACGTCTTGCGATCGCCATACGATAACAATTTGAGGACTTTCGGCTGGTCATGCATACATGTATGTCCTGCAATATTCGGCTCACCTCAACATATGTCTGTAGTCCTTTTTTCATCTCGTAGAATCCGCTGGATACTATAGTTATGTTCGCATATTGTTGTCGATCATCGAATACTATCGGTACCTGGACAGAAAAAAATAGAATTTTAACAGTATGAAGCAAAGGATGCGTGTACAGCGTCATGAAAGAAAAGTCTGCTAGATTTGTCCATTCATCTTTATGTATTTTGGCTATTCCAATCCTTTGTACTTAACCCAGTGAGCATTTATGTACAATAATAAAGGCCTTTTTTTCATTTGTATCATTTATCCATTAACTTGTCTTTCTCTCTCTCTCTTTCTCTCTCTCTGTCTTTCTCTCTTTCTTTCTCTCTCTCTCTCTCTCTCTCTCTCTCTCTCTCTCTCTCTATATATATATATATATATATATATATAGGGTTGCACATAGCACGCTGTATATGTATGATTTGGGGGTATTTCTCGTTCATCACACCACACCGACGACACCGCAGGACAAAAAAAAAAGGGTCTATGGCCTGGTTAAGACATCACTTTATTTGAAAATATCGTGTAAAAATGGCAGCAGGACAAGGGTTTTAATAAGTAGATACAGACAGATAGACAGACAGACAAACAGACGTATCTTCAATACTAACCTGAGATCCACACGCAGAGCACGACTCTTGCTCGGCCACGTAGGTTGCCATGGGAACGGTCTCGGTGGGCGGGGCCTGATATTTGGGGTAGGCTTCTATGGTGCAGTTCGCCACCTCGTCACTCATGACAAAGGCGTGTACGATAATCCGCTCACAGCCCATAGACGAGCAGTAGCTGTCACCGTCTCTATGGTAACGGGCGCTCACTTTCAGGAACAGAAGTCTGTGGACGAAAACGTCATGTTCAAGTTCATCGAAGTATCTAGAGTATTAGAGTTGTGAATTTCTTGTTTTGTTCATTATGGGGAATTTCTCGCTGATTTTGTGCATATTCCACTGTCATTTTCTCACGGTCTGCGCGGACCTGTCAGTCTGCGGTTACACCATTTACCCCTTCATTTCCTTTATCTTCTTGCCATCAAGGCTGTAGTCACCAGTCACAGATTGGTTATGACACAGTCTGCTCTAAAATGCGATGTGATATCAACATCGTACACTAACTATGACGAATATGGCCACGCGTTGCAACACTGGTCTTGTCCAACCAGCACACCCCACACTTACCCAGTACTTTCGTCGAAGAAGTAGGTGTTCCCCACGCTGTTCTCGATGTCTTCCACGGAGTAAGCTGGGTACACCTCCTCGTCTCCGTAGAACTTCTTGGGACTCCGCTGCCAGAGCTGGTAGATGATCTGAAACTGTGTTCTAGGAGGGTAGCACAGCCCCACCCGGATCCAGTCATCTCTGCAGGGTAGGTGGAAAGTAATTGTTGTATTCAGAACCGTGCTTTGTCCAGAATCATGCTCAGGTACGATTACGGATAGTCCATACGTCTGAACTGTACTTTGTCTAGGCACGGTCCTAGCTGTCCACGCGTATCCAGAACCGTGCCCGGGCAAATCTTATGTTCTTAGATACACCATCCAGAACCGTGCCTGATCTAACCCTAATCTGTCTATGAATAGCTCGGCACGGTTTTGAATGGTAAATCACACAGCATGAACCGCAATCTAATTAAAGTACCCAGTGCATGTACCTTACTACCTTCATCATATTTTATGACTTTCCTTATCATACTCTTAAACCCTTTAGCCTCCTAAGGTGGCCATTTTGGACCATATTTGTTAAAAGGTTAGATTGCATATTCGTCTTTGACTTTGTTACGATGTTAAATCAGTGTCGATGTTAAAAATGTTGGAAACCTGTCGAAGTTGATGGGGTGGATGGTGATCTCTGCCGGCGCCATCCCGTCCCAGTGAATGGTATAACCCTTCTCCAGCATCACCGCGGGCTGGTACTGTTGGTAGTGGGCGTCGACGAGCGCACCGTGAAGTTTGAGGGGGTGGTCAGGATACTCGTCCCTCCGTACCCACATGGTGTTCGTGTGGGGGTTTCTGACTTGTACGTACAGCTGAAAAAATAGCAGTTGAAAAGAGATATTGGTGAGATCTCGAGATCAACAGATCAACGTAACAGATCAATAAACCTGTTGATCTTGAGATCTCACCAGTGTCACTGACGAAAGGTAGTGGATGCTACATTGAATGTGTGACCGTTTTCATAATCATATCCAGTTGTTTGAGTACTAGCATTTTTTTTGCGAATCTTATTACATGAATGCCTAGCCTTCATCGAAGTATTTACTTTTAAGTTTGGTCTTAACTCTATTCCAGGTTATCCTGTTTCATTCCTACTTTTCCGTCTACCTGAGAGAGTAGGACCTTACATACCTGTGCGTATTTCCCGCTACAGATCACCCCCTTCCAGTCAGGCTTTTCCACGCACCCAGGATTCCTTGCGAGCCAGTTATCGATCCTGGTGACGTAAACATCCGGGTACCCCGTGATCGTCCCGTCAAGGTCATGGAAAAACGACGTCTTGTCTCCATCTTTCTCGTTCGAACCGAACCAGGGGCCGGGATTCCCGTAATAGACCCTTGACGCAGTCTGAAACAAGGAATCAGAGATTTTAAACTTCCTACAATCAGATTTAGTTTGCGTAAATCAAATACATCATATAATGCATTATCACTCATACGACTGTATAATGAAAACAGCCCTGTCTATCAACTGAAACCAAATCTCCGCCCCCCTTACTTCCAATCCTTGCTGATGAGGATGAAATACATACAAATTCCTCCTAAATCAGTGGTGCCCAAAACAAAACTTCCGTCCCGGAAGTAACTACGCTGTCCCTTTTCTGAGCACGACAGGAGAACATACTGCACCTGCGCCACCCGTAATGTATATTCATAGCATGACAGAATTTTTTACGTTAAGGTCGTATTCACGTATTTAAGGATGACATTCCTTCTATAGTTTTCAAGCGTTGAGTCATTTACAACAGGCAATTGCAAAATTCTGATGCAACGTTGACCAAACATCCAACAAAAACTATAAAAAAAATTTTCGCGCAGGGACAGTTCGCTCTGACGACGTGCTTCTCTTCGATGACGTATCGTACCCACATTCTCGAACTTGACCCTGGTGAGGTTGTTCTTGGGCGAGCCCTGCCACGTGTTGTCCAGGAGGAACCCGATGGCGCTGGACTTCCGGGCCTCGGTACGGGCGTACTTCTTGAAGGTACAGTTCACCACCCGTGTGGGACCGTCGTAGACCTGTATTCCTCGCATCGGGAAGTCCCTATGCAAAAAAGGTGAAATCTTCACTGAGGTGCAAAAGAATGCACACAAAAAGTATATGGGTAGCTAGCAACAACAGCAGAAATTTCACTAGAAGCAGCGAACTTTTGCATTTACAGGAGACTAATTTAAGTAAACAAATACAGGTATAAGTGTTAACCAAAGTCATGTGTATCACTCTTCCTCAATCGATCAACGTATAGAAGATCATAATCCCATAAATAAGGACATATTTTGTGCACCTGTTTGTCAAGAAACAGTATACAACGGGTGTGATTTATTTAAATGTAACGTTTGCCAACGTTAACGTTAACAGCCATGCAATCATGTACTTGTACCATTACTGCTATCTTAATGTCTTGATTCACTTGAAGCTCCCTGTGTCAACTAAATCACTATAATGAACGGGCCGTGTCCTTAAAAGAATCGCTAATTTGAAACACTCGAGGTTAGTGATCTAACCTGCCTCGGGGTAACGTCCGCCAGACCTTCCCGACACCCCCCGGCCCGTAGAACTTGTTTCCGCCGGCGTCCGTCCCGATGTTCTCGCTCTCCCCAATAAACACGCTGTTCCACACCTGCTGCTTAGAACCGTCGTCGCTAGGGAACGTGCCGTCACTGATGGAAAAAGTATCACGAGTAAATTTGCAATACATATCGATCAATAGTTTTTGGATAAATACCTATTCGGCTAATCTCCAAGCAGATCCTAGGGTGGCAAAAGACAGTATCAAATTGGTCAGGCAGTATCCATTGGCCACAGAGGGTCCGATCCAAGAGTAGCTTATTAGACCTTCTGTGGCCAATTGGATGCTGTCTTTTGCCACCCTAGGATCTGCTTGGAGATTACTGTTCAACTACGGATTCTGTTAGTTAAGCCCAAAAAGTAATAGAAGATGATGTGTTACGCCGAGGGGGTGTTATACCGGCTATACAGATACAGCTACTTGAAACGTCAGGCAGTTTTCAAAATCTTAAGGAACAATTTCCTTGTGTATCTCATTACCTGGATGTCTAAGCTTCATCTCAACGACTGCAAAATGAAGGAATATTTGAATTTTTATAGTAGTCGTACTTATTTGGATGTCTGGGATCTTTGCCTTCGGTTAGTTCTGTCAGAATCTGCTTGAAAATTCGACGAATGTGATTGTTCCATGATAATGTAGTCAATGTGGCGTTCATTTTGGGATATAATTAGTGAGGAATTGCCAACTGTAGTATGTAATGCCAATGGCAAGGACAGCAGGTGGCCTGTTATGTTCAGATTGTTTATCATTTTAGACCAGATGGTCTACAATTCAGACCAAACATCAGGCAATAAGGAAATGCCAGCATATCTCCTTTAACTGCCTTGTTTATCTCAGGATCCAAACACCCAATTACGACAGCCTCTGCTTTATTTCTGAGAGACCTTCATTAGTAACAGGCGCCGTGTTAAAGTTGAGAAGACAAAACATGACCGGATACATACCTTGATAAGGTCAGGCCTTTGCCGTTATCCACGAATCTGTAAAAAAAGTAAAATTCAAATCGACTGCAAATCAGTATGTATATGATCAGGAAATTACAGGAAAATATAAGGTATAAGGTAAGGTATAAGGAATCCACGATGTTCTTTTCTTTGATCTTGTTCTGCCTATCTAGATATACTCAAGCTTCTCTGCTTAGAAATCAACACACATACACGTACCACTATCATTGGACTAGCCCTAGTGTCTCACTACGTAAAGGCTCTGTATTGGTACTATCTAAGATCCTTTACGTCATATTTACGAGTACTTTAATGCTACATTTACACCGCCTTAAATCGTTGCAAAACAGTGTGGCTCACGGATGCAGACAAGGAAATGTTCACCACACAATGAATAAAGAAGCTCTTTGTACACAACGAAGTGTTTTATTCACAGCCAACATTTCGGTGACCGTCTGTCACCTTCCTCATGGCAATTCTGACTGGTTCACATTGCACTGCAGCACAGGTGTCGACGCCACACAATGTAGGAAGGTTTTTGATATTTACTTACGCGCATTTATCGAGCAGCAGCTCCCCGCCGCGCACCCAGGCGCCGTCGTTGTGGTTCTTGTAGGCGATCAGTCCTTCTATAAGCGCGGGCACTCTGTCTCTGGTCACGTCCCCGTCTTCATGTGGGGCGTATCTGGAAAATTAGAGAAAAAAACTAAACGTACTCTTAGAAAGTGGGTTGATAAAATATAGAACTTGGATCCAAAGAAGACCCGAGGGGCCTTAAATTAAAGCGTGTAAATTACAGTAAATTACAACTATTATATAATGATACGTGCAATAAAAAAAGTATTTTATACGACTGCAATCTTGTGTGCAGTATCTTGAGCACTACTAACCTAGTCTTTTTGTTTGGGATGTGATCTTCATGAAGTCACTGTCAGTGTTTGAACAGTTTTTACCTTTTTACATTCTGTGTGGTACGTTGCAATTAGGCGTGGGTTTTCCAATGAAACTGTATACAAGAGTATCAGTACCCACCTGCCCTTATCCATAGCGAGATACTCCCGCGGATCCTGTGAATTTGGGTGCGTAGTTTTTACACCGCAGTCCAACATGAAACCTGCCTGTAGGTATAAAAAAAAGGTAAAATTTTAAGATAGCAGAAAATACAACTTTGAAGTGATTCTAGAGTTCTGCAGACTATACTTGCACAAAGGTTTACATATCAACGACCAGTCTAACTATCGGTGTATGTCGTGACTCTTGAGGAATCTATTAGACCAATAGTTGTGTAGCTATTTGTATCAAGCGGCTTACCCTGTCATTAGAGTGGACCTTGTTGTTGTAACATCTGCCCAGAGGTGTGTAGATGGTGCTGGGGTCCAGGTGAAGGCCTTCAGATAGTCCAGTGGGGACCTCGTGAAAGATATACCAAATCCCTGTATCCTGAAAAGGACACAAAGACAACTAACTTATAAACATGGCATAAAACGTTCTAAGTTTTTGTCCATTATATACATGAGATGAGTTTTTATTTACATATTCTGCTAGTTACGTAGACAGATTTAGACAGAGATGATACTTTACCATAGACCCTGCCGCGGAGTTGTTGACTAGGTCGTTGTTGGGGTGAGAGACCCAGAATGTTGACACGGCGCTGTAGAGTACAAACAGAAACCTTTAGCTCATGCATTGAATGTGAATTTTACCCACTCATTAAGGAAGACACAAAAAACCTAGGACGCGTCATGTTCTATGGCATAATAACGTTGATGTTGCGAGATTAACCGTATCAATACTACATATTTTTCTCGGAGGATTTCCGTTAATACATTATGATGACAGTTTAACTACACTAACACAAACCAAAAAAAATACTTAAGGAATTTGACTCTTCTACCTCTATTTCACTAATGTACATGTTATCGTGACTTTGGGAGGGGTCGGGCTGTACAACTCTAATATTGTTGCTGTGTGTGTGTGAGTTGTAACTTGAATGTAACGTCACATTGTCCTTGTCCTTTGTCCGATGTTAATAAAAGAAACACCTGCATCCATTCTAATAGGAAAGTATATAAACCTCTCCGTACTTGCAGTCGCTGCCCAGCGGGATGTAGTCTCCGTAGACCCCGGACCGGATGTCCCGGCACATGACCTGGTCTCTGTCGGTGGGCAGCAGGGTGCCGGGTCGGGTAACTAGCCCCAGATTGTGCACCAGCCGATTCCGCTCTTCTACACCGTCCTCCAGATAGAAACAGTGACCCAGGGTGTCGTACCCCACGGTATCTTGTACCTTTGAAGAAAAGTTTCACAATTTTATTCACGGAGCGATCTAGAACAGAAAGGAAAGGAAATATCGAATTTTAGCTCCAGGAAGATTAAAATGCCCAACTGGTCGTAACACATAAGACAGACCTTGGTGTCTACAGTATTTACAGGTTCATTGTACCGGTAAAGCAGCCTCTTTCGCAGTCTTGTTGGGGAGTTTTTGCCACGGAGAGAAGGTTTCCCGCTCCAACGCTCCATTGCCACCTTCTCTCCGTGGCAAAAACTACCTCGGCAGCAAATCGTCCCGCGCGGCTGCATACTACTGCATACTACTCGCGTCGCTCACAAAAATAACGCCCACGCCCAACAAGACTGCGAAGGAGGCTACCGGGAAAGTACATACTGGTGCCGTACCCAAATGATACGCTCATATTAGCTGAACCACTGAATACAATAGTACACGAGACATAATACAAAATTAGCAAAATATCAACGATTATCAATTTTTGAACAAAGTCAATATCTAACAGTTATGTTTCAGCAAACTAGGCAGAAGCTCCAATGGTGCTTCAGATATTCGAAAAAAATTTAATTAACGGCTTTTGCAGGTCATCTGAGGTGACATGACGTAACGTCCTTACCAGCAGCCCATTGGTCGCGTGGATCGTGACGCATCGTGAGAAGCAGTGGTGGATGGACAGGTCTCTGACGTAGGTCGGTGTGACGTAACCGCCCCTCTCATCTACGTCACCGGCCAGGTGGAAGTGTACAGGGTACCGGCCGAGCATCTGCTGACCCATGTGTGTGAACTCCGCACCTGACAGGTGCACGCTTTTGAAGCCTCCAAGCACCTGCAAGTATTTCCGTTATTTTGATTACGTTTGCGGAGAGAAAGCACATGTTTTTTGCTTTGTTTATTCTTCTCCAAACAACCAAAGGTCAATGACCTGGGACAGACTGGTGTCACCATAATAACTGGTGCTGTCATTACAGTAGTAGTCATCCTATAGTGTTAGGCTACATTATGTAGCAAGTGGCAGGACAGAGTTGGATGGGCTAGCCACCATGTGGCATGTATATGAATGAGTTTGAACGAATAAACAGCAGTAGTCTCATCATCTCACCCATCTCTTAGTCTAATCATTCTAAATATTGGGGCACCACAGATGATCTAAAAATGAGTTTTCTCACCATTTTCAGCTTTCTGATCCTCTCAATTTTTGTCATGCTGGTCCATTCTCTGACGTTTTACGTTTCCTCCCCCCCCACTTTTCTTAGCAAGATTTCACCCACCTTGAAATGGCCCCCAAACGTGTCGTAATCGAAGAACTGACAGAAATTGTCTCCATAGCAACGGCTCTCGACCTCGCCCTGAATCCTGACGTTTCTGGACAGCAGTCCGACCTCGCCTCTCAGGTCAACTCCATCAGATATCTCACCAAAGTGCATGTATTTCGGCTTTCCTATCAAAGAATTGCACATGTTATGAGTTTTTAAGACCTGAGATAAGAAATCAGAGATTTCAGACTTTAGACAAGTATTTTGGGTTTTCGTAACCTTCAATTTCACCGCATTGCCTGTTTTTGGCCTTTTCACCTGTCATTCTGCCTGTCAATCTTCTCCCGCCCACGTAGGTGCTGTCAACCTACTACGTACTCTGTACGGACATACACAGAAACCCACAGCTCAGCCCCCCAAAACAGTACTTCCGTACCCAAACGTAACTAGTACAATTGGCAGCAGCGTCACAAAAAAGACGTTTCCTTCACCATTTATCTTAACCTGGTGATGTCAACCTACTATGTGCAGACAGACACATAGCTCAGCCACCCAAAACAATACATCCGTGGCCCAAATTAACTGGCAAATAACTGCGTAAAAAGACGTTTCCTCACCATTTATCTTGACCTGGTAGCTGGTGCACTCCGGACACGGCAGCAGGTCAAACTCCTCCGTCTGTTCCATGGAGTAATCCGTGCTCGCCAACACGATCCGGTCCCCGGGCTGCCAGGAAGTGACGTCATCGTTCAGGTTGATGACGTAGTCAGCCACCTTTCCGGTGACTGAGATGTGAAAGTCTGACTTCCCTGGAGGTTTTTAGAGAGGAGTGATAAAACATTTGGGCGGTATTGTTTGCAGTAGCTTACTGTGTGTCCATACCCATTTGAATATACGAGTACTACAGTACTACAGTGACAGAGCGTGTGTGTGTTGGGGGGGGGGGGCATAACCACAGAATGGCAGGAAGGTCAAATTGGAGGGTAAAGTCTTCCTGCTACATTCTGGGGGGAAGTGAGAATGGAGTATGTACAGTTTTAGAGAAATTAATAAAAGATGAGTAAAACCATAAATTAGCAATAACGCTAAATACTTTAAAATGCAAGGATGGTTTAGAATCTTTGACTCACTGTTTCCATTGGTTTCAAAGCATTGAGTATTTTGAGCCTAACAGATACAAACTTACCTCTGGACCAGGAACTTGTTGCTTCTACTTTAAAAGATACACCATAAGGCGTGGTGAACATCCGGGATACTTGTGCAGTTCCTGTGCGATGTGTGTCTAGGCAGAATAAAACAACAACACAGGTTTGGAATTTTAGCAGAATTTCATACAGAATCTAAAATATTTGCATTTGAAATTGAGCAATTACATGAAGTCATGGGCAGTTCAAATTTCTGTAAAATAATCAAGACGTGTTCATATTACCTTTGTAAGACAGTCTTTTCTCCATAGCAGCACTTGCGTTGCCCTTGACACCCAGGAATACCCAGGGTTCCCTGCAAAGAAGGCAAAGGTCAAAAAGGTCTAGTGGATAAGAGGTTGAGTGTTGATGTTGGACTGATGTCATGTTGTGAGAAATCACGTGTGTTTAGTTTGACCTGGTTTGACTTCATAACACGGATGGTGGTGAGGCCATGAAGACTAACATGTTTGTGTTTTGGGCTGGTGACTCGATAGTTATACCAGAAAGTTTCACAAAACTAACAGTCTTGCTTAAGGACGACAAAATTTGTGAGTTGAAGAAGTAATAAAAGTATTTCGAAAAAGATCCAAAGCACAAAGAAAACTATCCCGTGACTATGAATTTTCAAGGAATGCTAATTAATGCCAAGTCATTGTCAAATGCGAAAAAGAATAGAACGAATATTTCGTATGATAACGACCTACCAATGTATGAAGTAACAGACATAGTAATTAGTATCCACTGCCAACTTCGAAATAACTTAAAGACTAAGCTTCCCCAGTCAGTAATACGACTGTTAGTACTATTGCACAAACGTTTAGACAAAACATGTCGTCAAAACGGAATCTGCAAGGGATTGGTAAGCCATAATGCGTTTGTCAGCTTTTCTAGCTCTGATACTAGATAGCTTATTTTTCACAGACTCAGCAAAATGTTTTGAAAGGAAATTCCTTTTTCGACCTTGAGATGACATAGATTTGTCTTAAGTGACAGACAAATTTAATCACCGTTAAAGTCACCTGTTTGAAGAACTGATGACTTTGTGGTGTATCATTAAAACATTCGGGGAATGTAGAGCAAAGCTGACAAATGATCACAGATTTGTCCAGATCTAAAGCTCCAGTATCAACGTTCTTTTATCAACGTCAAGTTCACCTGTTTGAGAAAGCGAAGACTCTGTGGTGGCCGTTGAAAACATTCGGGGAATGAATAGCATGCAAAGCTGACAAATTTGCGAGCTAGAGTGTTTATATCTCATCAGTTATAGAAATATACGTTTTTCTGACTTGGCCCATCTGTCAGTGGTAGCAGTCGTCCCATCGGAAGGCCTTACGTAATCGCACGTACCAAGGAGCTTCAACAAGATATAACGTCCTCGCACGTACACACCACATACCTCAGCGTTTTTTTAATAAACTAGAAAGGTAACAAACGCATGATGTTTACCTTCGTATATGGTCTGCTCTGTTAATTCTTACTCAAACACATTCATATATATGGTCAGACAGGAGTCTAAATCCCTCCTCTATGAAATTGCAACATGATGTAACCCGACACCAATTACCATGGTGATAGCCGTCTGGTTCAGGTCATTGACCTTATTTGTTTGGAGAAGAAGGAGAAGAGGAAGCAGAGTAAAAACGGTTTTCCTTCGGTAAACATAAATATTGGAAATACACATATATGACATATATATATTTACCTGTACGATAACTTGTCAATCTCTTTACTGCCGAGACTCCTGATGGCTTTTCTTGCGGCAGTTCCTAAACTCTTCGATCCCTCGTCTCTAACCGCCATGATGATGATCCTACCCTCATCCACCCCGTTCAGGTCCGCGGACAGCCTCTTACTATCCTCCATGTTAATGTAGGTATCATACCAGTCGTTCTCCACGACTTCCCCGGTCAGCTCGTCCAGTACTCTAAGGTTGATGCCGCGATGTCCAACGCCTGAGTGGTGCCCTCCCTTCGGCAAGCCCTCCGCCATGACAGTTGCGGTGAGCTGCGTCCATGACAGCTTCGGTTTCCCGTGTATTTCGACGACCCCGTCTTTGTTTACCCCGAAGAACTTTTTACCGAAGAAGGGGTGGGTCTCCCCTTCGTCCGACTTGCCGTAAAGAGATATTGTGACGTCACTCAAGTAGGGGCAAGTCTCACTACCAATGTGGAATTCGCCGCCATCTTGGACCAGGATGCTTCGCGTTCGAAGGATGATGTTCTTTCCTTCATCAGCAAACACCAGTTTACCTGTAGATCAAAACGAAACAAGAAATCAGAAATTTTAGAATTTCGGGACGTAAGTTGAGTTGAGAAAGTTGAGGACCAAGTACATAATAATTCTAGTCAGCATTGTCTTTAGTCGAAGCTCGATTTCTTACTCAGAACACACATTTTGGGTAAAAGAAAGGTTTAACGATTTCATTTTTACATTTCAACGTTTTATATGTGTTAGTTCAGTTCCTTCGGAGTTAATTTTTTGACTGATGACCAAATGTTTTGAAACTGCAGTGTATTTTTCTTTACTTTTTGATTAGTTAACTTTATTTGATCAATTTAGAAGGGTTGAGGTTAGGAGGGATGTAAACCTGATAGTCACCTGATGTAAACTTGACAGCTCAATTTGACATGATACACACGCACCCATTCACACCATCTGTTCTTCCACGTGCTAAGGACCTTGTCAATATCAGGCAGTTTATAGTTTGTTTACGGTTTAGATTTATAGGGTTCAGGCCCTGAACCGGACATGGTGTCCTTCGGGTTGTGACGTATCACTGATAACCAGGACCATTTAAGGACTGTCAAACGTTGACCAGATCACGCTGTAACGTCCTGTTAGCAGACTGAATACACGCGAGGGCTTAATAGGTCATTAATTGGGTCTACACCATTACATTCTGCACATGTCTTGAGTTCTTAGCCCTCGACCTTAAGTCAGTCTTTCAGTTTGTTGTATTAAAATCTTGCCATTGTTTCCAGTGTAGCTACGATATTCCGGTATTCGACGATGCTGACTAAAAAAAAACAGAAGAGGAAGTCTGAAGACACTGATTCTAAGTACAGTGTATTAAGAACGACAGTTTTGTGGTGTTTGAGGTAACACTTTCTGTATCAAAAGCACAGGAAATGCCGGAACTTAATTAAGGAATTCTAGATAAATCTGCAACAGACCGTCTGAAGAAGTAAGATCGACAGTTTGGAGGTAACACCTTCTATATCAAAGACATGGGACTTCGGAACTTTAAAAAAATGTTGGATAACACTAAGAGTGACAGTCTGAAGACATTGGCTTGAAGAGAGAATGACATTTTGAGGTAACACCTTCTGTATCAAAAATACGAGAAATGTCGAAACTTAATTAAGGAACAGACAGTCTGAAGACGTAAGCTTGAAGAAAGATCGACTGTTTGGAGGTAACACCGCCATTATCAAAGACGGCAAAACATATCGGAACTTAAAGAATGCTGACTAAAACTAAAAGAGACAGTTGGAAGACAGTGACTTAAAATGAGAACGACATTTTGGAGGTAACACCTTCTTCATCAAAGGAACGGGAAACGTCGGAAATTAAAGAATTCTGGACGAAACCAAGAGAGACAGTCTGAAGACACTGGCTTGAAGTAAGAACGACAGTTTTGAGGTAACACTTTCTGTATCAAAGGAACAGGAAATGTAGAAACTGAAGGAATGCTGATGAATAAACCCCGAACAGTCTAACAACGAAACCTTGAAGTAAGATCCACAATTTGGAGATAACACCTTCTGTATCAAAGACATGGGACGTTAAAAATGCTGGATAACACTACGACAGTTAGTCTGAAGACACTGACTGGAAGTGAGCACGACATTTTGGAGGTAACATCTTCTATATCAAAGACACAAGAAACGTCGGAACTTAAAGAATGTTGACTAAAACTAGAATAGACAGTCTGAAGACACTGACTTGAAGTAAGATCGACAGTTTAGATGTAACACCTTCTTTATCAAAGATTCGTGTCTTTGATAAAGAAGGTGTTACCTTTATTCTCGAGACGTCGGAAGTTAAAGAATGCTGACAAAATCTCTAAAGACACTGATTTGAAGCGAGAACGACAACTTGGAACTAACACTTGCTGCATCAAAGACACGAGAAATGTCGGAACTTAAACTGCCCGACGGATCGGCCTGTTCAGCATCTCTTGTCCAAAGGTTGTTGAGGGGTTATCGTTTTCTGTCAAATTACATTCAGCACGTGCACCAGCTGTCAGCGCAAACAGTGACAGGCTCTTATATATACGGCCGTTAGATTTGTATGACGGCGCTTGTTATGGGAAGTCTGTCAGTTGAGATACTTATTATTAAAGACCAGCAAACTAGCCGTAGGGAGACTGTTATTAAATGTTTCTTGGTATCCGATAGTACGATATAGTTTATGTTTGTGTCGCATAACCGGTTAACACTCCCGTTTTGTAATCACAAGCCGCGTAAGATTGAACTGTAAACTTTGATCTACTAATGCCTGAATGGAACCCTACTCTTTTCGGTATACGTAAAGTTGTGGCTCTCCTCAAACACGGACCCTACGGACATATCCAAGAGGACGCCCCTAACCGAAGCTAGGTACTCATTTCTACCTTCCTGAGTCGAGGCTGAAAATGTCTTTCCCAAGAGCACAACATTGGAGTATTCTAGAGATTCGGAGAATAAAAAAAACTCTAACCACAAGACTACATTGTCAGCTACAGAATGCTTAACGTAACTTCTTGAGGTCATATCTTTGAGTCTGCCACAATATCTGAGCGGAATTCTGCGATAGGAATCGTTACCACATTTGCTCGGCTCACGCGAGGTTTGGAGTGACGTGAAATCTCGCGTTATCTCGCGTTATCTTCTGACAGATCACAGATGAACCGACGGGACAAGTTAACAGCCAATTAACGATATGATCGTTGACACTTGTTTGACAGCCAGGCTGTCAGCTGATTCCGTTTACCAAGTGTATATCTAAGAGATGTAGGAGCTACGTGCATATGTGCATGTTACTATTGTTAGCACTAAGATATCAAATAAGCAATTCTGCAAAAAGTAGACGCGAACATAAATAGTATATCAAAGGCCAAAACGATTACAGCACTTAATCACTGTTAGTAAAATTGATGAAGCAAAAGCTCGTCGGACAGTTGGTCATTGGTTTATGTATTGCTGAACCAATAGATAGATAAATGGAATGATTAAGCACACAGCTGCATGCTTTTAAACAGTCTATATGCATGCATATAACGAAATTTGTGCAGAAAATGTTTGCAGTTTTAATTTCATAGTTGGCTTCTCTAAACGCAATTGCCTTATCGTATGCCTAACCGCCCTTGACTCTTTGGGCAAGGACGTGCTGTAGCACGAGAAAAGCCGATGTCGTGACGGTGCTTCTACGACGGTAATACGGTGTGTCGCACGATGGTCGTACGATTACAAAAGTATAGTCGCGTATCTGTCGCACAATATTAACAGTCTTGTTACGAATAAAATGTTGTGATGCTTTTGGTTCTGTCACAGTCTGGATAGAAATTCCTATGACAACAGAATCTTACGACGACCTACACCAATGCGCCGTTACTGGACACGACATGTGATTGTTGCTGATACGACGTCTGTTAAAGAAGGTTTGATACAACACACAAGCCACGACTGGGGACTGTCAGTCGAACAAACGTTATCTCGAATGAACCCAGGGCAAGTCACAAAACCTCACAGAGTACATTCCACAAAAAGGAATTCGGTCTTTAACGCTTGCCCCCTTGCCAAAGGACGTTTGTTGAATAGAAATAGGATTACAATCAGATGCCATTGAACAGCTGTTACACATCTCTGTAATGTTAGTCTGATACAATCCAAATGTAAAACCAGATAGATGTTTTACTTCATAAAAATACGTACGACTTTTCCTTTTGACAGTGTAAGGGCAAAGGCATATTAGCTATACAACCCCTCCTACGCGTTTACGATTTACGCCAATTTTTTTTTGCTGAACAAAATAAGGTTAATTTCTCCAAGAAGGTAAGGCCAGTTTCTCACGCGAGGGTTCCAATTAGTAGCGACAAAGTATTAGGCGTAGATTGGTAACACCTGAATGGTGCCCGTAGTGGTGTAATGATTGGAGGGGCTGTCCTCGTGGGGAAAGACCCGGCTGTGACCACTAGTCGTACGGCGTATCTTGGGAGATGCCCCGGGCAAATGTTAGGATTAGAGCTGTAATACCCTGGGCTGTTGCCAATTGTAGATGTTTCTGCTGATACATATCGTATGTTTTTCCCCACTGGAGGCTAAGTGGGACCTTCTGAGGTGCCAAGACAATACCAGCCTACAAATGAATTGATGACAATGATAATTATGATGAAGTTTACATTTGCACGAAGTATATGGGCCAACAACTCGCTGAGCCACATAGCAATGTTTTCTAATCAGCGTTACCATAATTATAAAAGTTTCTTTGATCGTCAGTGATTAGGACACACACCATGTATTGATGAACCAACAGATTTGTGGTATTAAAATGTACTGATCTACAATTCTTCCAGAAGCCTTTCTTGCCTTTGTCGACTCAGCTTTCTGCTTGCATAACGCCGTCATTCTCACCTGTTTCAAACATTTGTCTCAACTAGTTCCCGCATAGTCCACATGCTGCCTTAATTAGTACACACATCCTTGACTGTCCCTCTGTGACTCGGTCGCGTGACTCTGGGCACGAGTTTGACATTATTGGGCACGAGTGAGGGTCATGGCCGGAACTCCCACGAGTCCTTGTTAGGTTTGATTATGATGTACGGTACGTTATAGTTGGGCACGACCCTTTGCCTAGTTGCCATATGCATATTGTAGCTATATACAAACTTTAGCCATCCCTCAACCGAGACGGGGGCCGACATCGACTAAGCTCCCATGGGTTCTTGTTAGGTTTGATTATGATGTACGGTACGATATAGTTGGGCACGACCCTTTACCTAGTTGCCAAATTCAAGCCACAAACATACTTCAGCCACCCATCAACCGAGACGGGGGCCGACACCAACTGCCAGGATCTTTGACCCGTTGCTGACGTCACACTTCCGTTCAGGTCATTTCAACTGTAGAGGGATCACAGAACTGGACGAAAGCTTGTTAGTAAGCTTTATACTACGGAGAAGGCGTATAAGAATCATTATAATGCACATTGCCTTTCATTTCTATGAACGTTTGGAATAAAACTTTGACGTTTGGTCAGAAGACATCTACAAGTTGTTTTTTCCTAGTTCTCCCAAAGCACTAAAGCCTTGGCCTAGTGTACTAGACCCCTACTGAGAGAGAGGCTACAGACTGTCTGCTGACCTTTTCAAACACAAGACCATTGTCATTGGCTTTGATCAAATGGGTGGACATTTCGCTTTTGGAAATGTTTTCCAAATGGGTCTATCAGGGCACGCCTTGTAAACACGAATACAAAGGAATACCACATGTCAAATGGGACAAACGAATCATATAAAGGCCAAGAAGTTAACCAAGCACTACTACAGAGAAAGAGAGATATAGAGAGAATGGGAGAAAGAAAGAGACAGGGAGGAAGAGAGACAGAGGCAGACATAGAGAAGGACATAAAGAAAGACAGGCATAAAAGACATTCCCAGGCAAGCACACGTCGAAAAGCAGTTCAGTGAACCAGTATCTGAAATAGAGCCTCCTTTGTAGACGTGAAATAACGACATTTGGGCCGTCTTGTCTTGTGGGAACTAACTAGGATCAACTGGTGTCAGTGGACTTGGCGCTCGGTCAAAAAGCGATTTCCTGGATAAACTTTATGTCCTGTTACGCATTATAAAAGGCTTACAAGACCGAATGTCTGTGCCAAAAGACTCGCTTCATTAGGTTTAAACGCACTGCCAAAGGGGTGGCCACTGGGGCCTCTTCAACCGTGCCAAAACTTCCGACCTGTACTTGGCATGTATTCCTAGAGTTGCAGACTAATCAAAGAAACTTGTGTCTGTTGTTTGTCGTGCTCTGTTTCTACCCAAGGGTCTAGTAGTCACAATTGTCGTGAGACAGACTTACGACAGCAAATTAATGGCATGCTAAAGGCACCAGTCTTGTCAAATTAAGCTGTGACAGACTCATTCATTGTTTTTCTTGTAAACTTGTATAAAAACTTACAGATGATAGGCCCGGTTGTTTATCATTCAATAGGGTCTGGTCGCATATTTGTCGTACTCTTGTCGTACGATCGCAAACTGAGGGCATTCTTGAAGCAGTCGTGCATGTGTGATATACAAAATGCACCTTCTTTGTATTTGGCCAAAAAGGCTGTCCTAGGTTAGCCTCTACCAGGCTTCGGGAGGCGGCTGGAAAGAGTAGAAATCGGCCAAATAGAGAGATAACATGCCAGTCCGATTCAAACTGTATTCTCTAGCGGACCAACTCCCCTGGCATGTTATCTCTCTATTTGGCTGATTTCTACTCTTTCCAGCCGCCTCCCGAAGCCTGGTAGAGGCTAGTCTTAGGTCCTAATCGTTGGTTGGTTCTGTCAACATAAAAAATATATGTAAAGACTGCCTCACGATTGTAACTGCAAAATCACACAACAGAATTTTCTCTTACCGCCATCTTTGATTTCCAGGGAATCGAATGTCGCAGACGACTCCAGACGGTAAACTTGACCTTGTCCGATGACTTCTCTCCGAGAGGGGTCATGGCCAGGGTTCCACCGGACCAGGCTCGGGTCAACATCCGGGCAACCTGAGGTGGAAAACGAGAAAAGAACAAATAGAGACGTTGAACAAGATGGACGACCAGGTTTCCATGGTAACGATCTCGTGCCCTTTGATCTCGTTCCCAGGGCATGACATGTGACATCTGTCTCGTCTGGTATGAGGACATGGCATACCGGATCATACCGGTTTCCTTTGTTCCTACAGAGAACAGTGATTCACAGCAAAGTGAAAGATAGCTATGCTTGTTGAATCTAACTCTTTTTCTAACATAGACAGACAAAAATGAACACAGCGTACAAGTTGCAGAATGCTATTAGAATAGCTCAACAATTTTCTGTGCTTTGTATGGAAATTATAGGTGTACTGAGAACACGAATCTAATTTCCAAAAACAAACATATCATGAAATCTGAAAACAATACTTCATTTTTCAAATGTTTTTCAAAAGCATTCCAGAGAATTCTGAAAGACGACAAATTTGATTAGGTCGTCGTGGAAATGATGTATTAATCATCATTAACCATTACTATTATGTATCGCATGCCACTCACAATTTCACATTCCAACCACTTTGGCAACTTCTACAAAGCATACTTCCGCTTCCGAAAAAAGGATACTTTGGGTAGAACGTGTGGAATATCGGTTTACCGCAGATCAAAGAGTTTACCGCAAGGGTTTGTGCCAACTTCCTTCGTTTTCCTCTGATTTATTTGAGCAGTGACTTTCAACATCAAGGCACCTTACGGAAGTCGTTGACTAATTGCCTAAAGCCTATTTACTTAGCGTATGTCTGTCATTAGAATGACTTTTAGTTGGAGAAATCACGGGTGGTCCACGTATTTGTGATGTTATGCTTCCCTGGAAGCTGGCAGTGGAAAATGAGGATAAAGTACTTCCTATAACTATCGCCTGCTGTCATATCTCGCGAGGACAGACGAGAGTTCGGGTAACCGCAGCACTGAAGTTTCACATCCAATTTATCTAGCTAATAAGCTATTCATCAATTGGGGCATGTGTGTGCAAATACATTTTGTGTATGTGTGTTGTGACTTTATACATACAGTGTGTGTATATGGAAATTGATGTGTGCGTGTGTGAATGTGTGTGAGTGTGTGTGTGTGTGTGTCACGGTGTGTATGTGTGTGTGTGTGTGTGCGTTGTGTGTGTTTGTGTGTGTTCTGTGTGTGCGCGTGTGTGTGAACTTGTCCATGTATGTTTACGCATGTAGTATGTATGTAAGGCACTTGTGTCTACCGTGAGATGCTCAGCAGACACTAAGACAAATTGAGTGTCCCCATCACTCTGTCATTGCCTGTTTCAAGCCTACCGTTAACAGATGACTATAACCTCCCTGAGAGACTACGTCTAACTTTTCTGGCTGTGTTTGCGCGCGGAGAAACATCTGTGTGTGCGACAAGCCCAGAGCGACGAATTGAGCAGACGTGTGTGTGTGACAGGCCCTGAGCGCCCGTCTGTCTATCTGTCTGTCTGAAAAGCGCCACCTGGTGGGTAAAGTACTTGCCAAAGGGAAACGGGAGGGGGTACTTGAGTTCAAGTTCGTATGACCAAAGTGCCGGGGTAGCTCTAGACCCTACCAGGCTTTGGGAAGCGGTTGAAAAGAGTAGAAATTAGCCAAATAGACAACTCGGGTACACGCGAATTCAAGCTCAAAAGATCCTGGCCTTATGCAATTTTAACAACAATGACGTAAAACTATATTTGATATCTATCTTTAACACGCACACACCCATTTTTAATCTTTATGGTCAAGGAAGTACTGGAGTCTCTAACGTAAAGACACATCCTTTGTGACCATGGTAAATGTTAACGGAAATTAAATCTAAGAGATGACATTTAGCACCGGGTTCTTAGTAGTTTTCTGGGGCGGTCTCAGTTTAGATGTGTCTGCTGCAATTGTTTGCACAATACATTGACTCACAAGTTTGGAAGTGGCGACCAACTACAATTTTCTTTTCATGCAGACCAGTTGTAGGGTAGCTTAATCGGGTAGCTGACTATGGTTAAGTTAAAGAAAAACCATCTAAACGTCATGGAGTTTCTGTTAGGACAAATGGGTCATAAACAACATGAGCGTTTCAAGAGAGGAACAATCAAAAGAATTTTACGTCTTGGATTTGTCGAAATCACCTCATTCCACGCGAGTTTCCCTCCCCATGACCAACTAATAAACGTCGTTAATTTCGAACAGATAAACGATTAAAGATAAACGTTCGGATATCAAAGATAAAAGGCTGCATCTGGACATTCCTGTGTCCGTTGGTGTAGTTACTTTGCTGATCAGTGAATTGAAATAATCATGTTTTTAATAACTTTTAGCGGACTCAAATGTGACGTGTAGTCAATAGAGTCAGTAAGGATAACACACAGGGAGCCATGAAAATTTTTCATCAGCTCTCAAGCTGTTCCCAATTGTTGATAAAAACAGAAGTGGTGAACAAGAAGTAAAACCTGTTGCAGATTTTTGTCTCACGGTTGATTCCATCAAAACCTGCTTGAAAAAAACAAACTTCGACATCAAAATCGTACAACTTGCTACGACGAATGGGACCGCAACGTAATACCATGTTACATTCGCACATCCTTCCTATGGCTGTATTTGAATGGAATAGTCAACAGGATTTCCCCAAGGCCAGCAGTATAGTACATAGACACATCGTTGTGACTTTGTTTCTTTGTCAGCACTTGAACGTCTATAACCTGTTTTGAGAGGAACCAGACGTCCCCCGTCCTCGACCTTGTCTTTCTGTGTATTTTGCTGCGGTTAAACAACTCACTCATTCTCTCCACTTACACGTAGATGTGTCTACAGCCCTTCGCTACATACACAAACGTAATGACTTAACCTTGGAACTTGTAAATAAATATATACTTAACCTCAACGGCAGTGTGTTAAGTATGCATGTCATCATAGACTGCAACGTTTTTGAATGGGCACAGGCGGTATTTTTTAAAGAGATCTGATACTTTCAAACCATTGTATCTGTCAGAGTCAGTGAAGTCTTGACACGATCGCATTCGTCGTAGAATGTAGTATGATTTGGACGTTTCAAACAGTCTGTGACAGAACCAGCAGCCCGTTAGGACAGCATTTTGTCGTAGGACGACAGCTGGCTGTTATACGACATCTGTACGACTGGCCCAAGATTTCAGTACGACGATCTCGAGACAAATTTCACCGGTATTGGTATGACGCCCAGCTTGTATTTTGTTTACCCTCACACTACTGTCGTCGAATGCTTTTCGTAGTCGACAAGCCATCTCCACCTCACGGTGCTCTGTTTATGTTGAGGATACAGTTCGTCAACACAGAGCACTGAGGGAAGATGACGACCATGTTGTATTTTGGACCTGTCCTGTATGTTATGAATAGTGAAGACGGTTACCAGCTGTTGTGGCGTAGGAGAGAGCCACTACAACAAATGTTACTCTTCAAGCAGAGGTTTGGATCAAAATCGTACTGCGGTCTATGCCGAATGTATACTACTCTACCAGGCTTCAGGAGGCGACTGGAAAGAGTAGAAGACGGCTGAATAGACAGATAACATGCCAGGGAAGTTTGTCCGCTAGAGAGTAAAGTTGCCGCACCCGAAAACTGCACTCTCTAGCGGACCAACTCCCTCGGCATGTTATCTCTCTCTATTTGGCCGACTTCTACTCTTTCCAGCCGCCTCCTGAAGCCTGATAGAGGATGAATGTGTACAGCAAGCAAAAAGGCAAGCGCAAAGGAGCTTGGAGAGTTCGGCTGCCAACTTGGCACTGAGATATATTTCTCCGAGAATTCTAAGAATCTACCAGCGACACGGCTCTTCTTTATTCGTCTCTTGGTGTTCCTTAAATTCGATTGTTACAGTCTGAATTGTTGCACACCGAGGAGTTCACGAGTCTTAGATTATAGAGACTTACTTTGATCTCGGCTTCGTTGCGTGCAAGAAGGTAGTAACTAACTTCCGCGCCATTTAGACGAAGAATTCAGAGGAAAGCCGTCCTTTCTTTCTTTGTATCTTTATTGGCATAACATCAGTTTTTCGTTTGCAGATGCCCAAGAGAGAGAGAGAGGGAGAG